CAGCCGGCACACTTCCAGGCTGCTTTGGCCTTTTACCTCTGCTGACTCGAAGTTTCAACTCCCCTTTTTTGACCCATGGAAAAGTTGAGGAACACGTTTCCGTGACGGGAAAGTTGGAATTTGTAAATTTTGTGCTCTCTCTCACTATATAATTGCATCCAGTTTGTTATTATTTATTATCACAGCTAGTATATGACTGAAAGAATGAAATATTTAAATTACAACCCCTCCACATATTTTAAAAGGCAAATCAAATTTGAGGTTAGGCCAAAGAAAAATTATTTATAAAAAAAGCATAGGCCAAATTTCCCTGGTAATGGTGTCAAATTAATGTTAATGCTTCAGTAATTCATCAATTTTTTCCCTCTTGCAATTAAGATTCATTTCATCGCGGAAAATTTTTTCTTTTGAAAGCGAAGAAGTCTTGCGGATTGTGAAAACGGGAGCAGAAATTTATGGGATATCAAAAGCAAATCGGAAAACTTTTGTTAAAGTGAAAGCAGGAGCCTGGCTGAATGTCTGTGCATTTAATTTGGCTTCTGAGGTCCTTTCAAGACCTCGAGGTACCTTTCCAATCTTTCGATCAAGAGACCAACGTTCAAAATGCAATATTTTGGGTTCAATTTTACATTTATTTGTGTAGAGGGTATTCAATATTATAGCCACTCCTTTTCGCTACATTGCTCTGCCTTCAAAGCAAATAATCAACCAAAAAATAGCAAAAAAAAAAGTCAAAAAACAACAAAACAAAAACCCAGAGCCGGAATATTTTTTTGCACTTTCGCCGTTTTGTTGCTCCACAGCTCCAGGATTTCTTTGGTGCTGATGCTGGGGGGTTGATACTTTTTTGTAGTATTTTCTTTTGCCTTTGCTGCTGGCCATGAGGAAAAGTTATGAGGCGCCGCGAGACCCAAAACACACAGAAAACCAGAAACACAGTCAGAAACACACGAAGAAATGAGCTCCAGCCTCAAGGATTTGACGCTCTGATGCCTGCCAAGAAAAGGAGCAAAAAATGGGCAGAGCAGTGGCTGGGCCGCGCATTAAATCTCATTTTCATAAAATTCACCAATAAATTTTCCCGGAGCAAGGAAACCGGAAATCTCCGACAAATACAGTGGGGATCTGTAGGGCAGAGGTACATTTTAGAGAATAAAGCAATAAAAAAAGGTTTCGTTTCGGTGAACTAAATTCTAGATGAGAAGTAATGAAAATTACATTGCATTGCTTAGTCCAAGCTATCGCTGGTATTGCTTAAAAAAGGACGATCCCAACCCGAATAAGTGTACAAAAATTAAATGTACAATTGTAGAGGTATGGAGAATTCTACCCCGCTCTGGCCACTGCCTTATTTCCATACATATGTAAATTCATGAAAATGTGCAGTGACCTGCCCTTGCCCTGCCCCCACATGATGTTCAACCGGAAAAATCGAAAATTCATTTAAAGCCATCCCAAATATATATACGTATGTCAGGCTGTGCTCTTGCGGGCTGCGTGAATGCCCTTAACCAAAACCAAAATTCACGCTAATTGCTCGACATTTCAATAATCCAGACTAAAGGGTGTGATGGTCATGCAACAAAATATGCTGCGTTTGCAGAACTACCGAAACTGGTAGAGGATTTCGATCCATACAGGATTCCCACCTGAAGAGATGAATACATATACCGATACCCATTTTCGAGGGGGGGCGAGATGATTTACATGTGCTAGATACATATCTTCTAGGGTATTCCGAGCATCGTTGTTGCCTTTTTTCTGCCTCCTGTTGCCATTTCGTATTGGCTTTTGATGCTATTCATGGTCTTGACCGCGGTTTGGTTTTGGCTTTAGTTGGACGCTGGTTTTTGGTATTGACAGTCATTAAAGCCGCGCCTGGAAGCGTGCTTTAATTTCTGCCGAATGGATAATGACTGATGGTTGATGCAGGAACAAAGACGGCAATGGGAACTCATTAGTGTGGTGTGCAGGGGGTTCGTGCCGGTCTGGCCACATTAATGACGGAGTCACGCCCCGCACAAAGAGGTGGGCAGGACGACTGCGAGGGGTATGTGGATGCGAAGGGTAATTTAAAACTGCATATTGCCACACACTTGATTTTAATTTGATTTCACTGTGCTCCGGGCCCCACGCCCCGTGCCAGTGCCATTCCCGCCTGCCAGCAACCGGATACAGCAATTAGGATAAAATGCTCCGCAGAGATAGCGGGAGCCAAGGCGTGGAGGAACAAGGATTCGTGCTTCCCTTCTGCCTTGCACTGCTTGCGTGCCGGTCGCTGGAGGGCACAAACAACTTCAGTCAGTACGGAAAAGGGATATTTGATTTGATTCGGATAGCAAAGGAGACTTTTATTCTCAGCCATGAGGGTAAGAAATATCTCGTAACTGCCCCAAAATCTGCAATTTCACAACATTATAAACAGAGCAGCCACAGGGGCGACAGGCAACAGGAGAGGGGCACAGAGAGGGCTGTCACAAATTGTATTTTCCCTCTACAATAGCTGACAGATACATTTACATCTGCGGTTGTGCTACCAGAAATATGACCCTCCGAGCAGGTGGCATATTCAATTGAATTTTCATTTCAATTTAAATGCATAAAATGCATGAAAAAACCAACAAATAAGGCGGCAACCAGGTAGCTTCCAGCCGAATTCCGAATCTAGGTCAATCAAGCCGAATCAAGCCATTGGGCTTTGTGTAGCTGTTGCATGCTAGGCACGCCACTCGGTATATTTTATTTGTGGAGACGTGTGCCTAAATGTAGTACATTCGAGCATTCAAGGGATGGACAGTCGCCACAAAGCATTGCTCTTGATCCCAAATTCCAAAATTTATTCTTCGGCAACACAAGGGAATAGTGGAGATCGCTTTCGCGCCCGATAATGCAAAAACAAAATCACAGTTTGTGCGATGAGGCTTATCGCTGATCGACTCGAATGTCGTGCTCACCGCCGCTGAAAAGCTTGAATATTTATATTTATATTTTCTACTCAAGAATACCTGTCTACTTACTCAATTTAGCTATCAACGGGTGTCTTTCTGTGAAGATCTCTAAGATCGGAAGATGGCAAATAGCTAAAGCATCCCTGAACAGGACTAATTCCTTCTAAAGTTAGTTTTTCGAAATCAAATATTAGGTTTATGTAGAGTTTGCCCTTTGATGAAATTAAACAAGCATCCAATTCACTACCGAACGCTTTTGTCTCATTAATATACCCATAAAGCGGCAGCCCACATAAAGCCGAGTTTCCCGGAATCCCCTATTAAGGGGAGGTATAATATATAGCAGGTTGTGGGTATCTTGTGGTCGAATTCAGCTTTGAAGTGTTTGTACTGCAAAATGTAGTTGAAAAGGTCAGAAAAGTAAGCTAATCATAGGACTAGTAGTGCGGGAAAGTCGTGCCTCTGTTTGATTTGCGGTTCGCTTTTCCGCACGCCGTTCCTCACACTTCCATCTCCGACTGTGGCGGGGGTGACGAATAGCTGATATTAATGAAGGGGGAAACCCGAAATCAATGCAATGGAGCTGGTGACGTTTATCACTTTGAAATGCGGTCAGTAGCAGAGTTTTATCGACAGCTAAGCAGTGCAGTGCAGTGCACTTGCAGTGCACTTGCAGTGCAGTGTTGGGAAGGAAGGGTGTGGCTAATTACAACGCAAGTTACATAAAAAAGCTGACAGCCAAAGAGGGGGAGAAGCCCACGAAAGCAGATAATGTTCTTGATAAACTAAATAGTGGAGAGAGGTAGAGAGGGGGATCTGTTACTGGGCAACGGATGATGCACTGCTTTTGGCAGCACTTTGCCAGCATGCCCATGCCCCCCTCTGCCCTACCCATCGCCCTTACAGCTTCCGCTTCAGCGCCCCCAAAGCCAAAGCGGCACGGCAAAGCAGAGCAGAACAGCGCACCAAAGTTGAAGGGGAAGGCCAAGCCGAAAGTCAAACAAAAAAGGCGAAGAACTAAACAAATAAAATGCCATAGAGCCGCGCCATGGAGGGGGCCTAGGGGAGATGCTAGGCTGCAGATGCTGTCATGCATGCAGAAATGATGTCAACTGCGCGTGCCACAGACAAGCAAAAAACAATCTGAAATCTGCATTAAAAAATGTCAAAAAATTACGCCGTTCACGTTGGAGAGGAAAGGCAGCAAAAAAGTCCCCCCTCGTTGAAAGCCGAAGGTGGAAGGAAAATATTTACCATGCCACGGCTTCAATTCCAGCAAAATGGAAGTTTAAAAGGAATTTTCTTGGTCAGTCAGACACGCACAGATACGCAAATTGCAGTTCCTCGAGCAGGAGCACAGATAAGCAGCTGCCAGCCAGAACAAAGGGTTCCAGTGGCTTACAGTCTGTGCATCGCTTGCGGTTAGTTTAACTAAAAAGAACTAAGCTTGTCAAATGCCAAAAGCTGCTAATTAAATACAGTATAAGTCCGGGGAAAACGAGATTATAGTTTAAGTACTTATGAAGAGGAGAATGACAAAAGACAAAACCCCAGAATTTGCTTAAAAAATTCAAATTAATTAAAAACACACAACGAAGAAGCCACGGAAGGCAGCTTCCTTAGCTTAAGCTCTACTACTATTACTATAGGCACAGTATGTACCTTGGAACCATGGTTCTAGAACCTAGAACATCCACAACCTAAGACGCTGTCGTCCTCTGATCTCTAATAGAACCTGCTTCGATATTTTTGCGGATTTATTGAGTTATAAGGACATTTAGCAGATATACAGATTTGAATTAAAAGCTATTCCCATTCTTCTCAGAATTTTCAATAAAGTGAAATGTTTTTGGAACCATTAAAAAGAATATTAAATATTAAAACTTATATAATTTTTAAAAAATTTAACAAATTGCTAACAGACATATTTTCTGAAATACTGTTGCCGCACCACAAAATTGAAAAATTAATGTTGCATTAAATCGAATTCTTAATCGGATAATGCAGATACGCATCAATTATACAATTATTGTCTCTTAGTTTTTTTTACACATTTTATTTACGTTAGTTATTTATTTTATAGATGTACATACATATGTCACTTTGTTACTTTGAATGACTAAAAAGCGTTCTCTTGCAGCGGTATGTCTAATAAAATATTTCTGGTTAAAGCAAATATTATACAGCTGTGCATAAAAGATGCCTATGTGTCATAGAAAAAAAGCAGTATTTACAGCAGACTCACTTGTGCATAGAAATGTTAAAAAAAAGGAGAAACAGAGCCATGAGCCAGGAGTTGTGATCCAACGATAGAAGATGCTCGTGGTGGAAAAGGTTTCACCTGTGAAGGCAGGCACGAGGTTAGCCAGAAAGAGAAAGACAAAGAGCTATACAGGGGTTAAGGATGGAGGGGAGCATGGTTAGTTACTTTAGGTTAGGTTCTCCCATAACTGGCGGCCATAAACATCGATGCTAGCCTTCTGGCTGGATTGCGTGGCCATCCAATCCTCCTGGAACAGGCCCTGCACATAGATGGCCCCCAGATAGGCGTCCGATGTGGACGCCAACGATCGCCGGCACTTCAGTCCAATGTCCTTCACCACGACGGGTCCATCGAACCGAGCCATATAGTAGCGCACTCGCCAGCCGTCACCCAGCAGACCGGAACTCTGACGCAGTTGTACGGGGGCCAGGCCGGAGGGCAGCGGATCGTCCATTGGGGATATGTAGCAAAGATGCGGAGCCACAATGTTAGTGTTGTAGGAGCCGCAGAACAAGTACAAATCCTGGCTATGCCGTTGGAAGGGCGAGAGCCTCACGACCACATCAAAGGTGTGATCCCTGCTGGCATCATCCATGCGGTAGGCATAGCCCAGCAGCAACACACCCCGTGGCAGGACGAAGTCTGTGACGAAGAGCCTGAAGGCACGCTCGTAGTTGATCACCTCCAGAGAACTGCCGCCCGTGAAGGCCGTGTGGAAACAGTGCCGGGCATTCTTGTCCAGGGGCACCGACGGCTGCAGCGATTGGCGGGAGAGGTTAAAGAAGGGTCGGCCCGTCGCCGAAGCATCACGCGACCCGCGCACAAAGCTGGCCTGGCCTGACCCCACGCAGAAGTCCGTGTAGAATGGCAGCGCCTGGTACGGGTGGGTGGCCAGCAGGGGCCAGAGGCGGGCCCACCAGGACTCGTTTCTGCTCAGAAAGGCGGCATTCACCTCCTCGTCGCCGTTCGCCTTGCTAATGTCGTAGCCTTGCCAGTTTCGCAGCGTCTCGAAGGACCAGGCGGGCGCAAAGATACCCGCCGAGAAACCGTTCTGGGCAATCCGCTCCATCGTGTCCAGGCTCTGGAAGCCGCCCTTCCGACTCCGCCCGAAAACATCCAGCCCCATGAACACTCGATGCTGGGGCGAACCCTCCTGCCTGGCCAGGCTGGCACTGCGCTCCAGGTGGCCATCGTTCCAGGCATAGTTGATCAGCATGGCGTCGCTGATCCGGAAGAAGTCCACGTTCCGTGCGTTCAGCTCGTTCTGCCAAAGCAACGCTCCGGTTTCGATCACGCTGTCGTACCAAAAGACACGACCATGCGGCACCTGCGACTCAGTGGCAGAGCGCAGCTCTCGGACAAATCGACTGGGGGGGAGGAGAGATGAATGATCGGTTAGTTCTTGGGGATGGATCTATGGATGATCTTCCCAGTACTCACTGCAGATTGGGCATGCTTGTCTGCGGTACAGTCACTTCGACGTTCACCAGCCAGCCCTCGAAGCCGAAGTGGAGACAGAGACGGGTCAAGGCGGCCACGGTTCGGTCCACGCTCTCCTCGCTGGCCAGGACCTCGACGAGAAGGCTATCTGCCTCCACAATGTAGGTACCTAGAACGGGAACGCCATGTCGATGGGCGGCGTTCAGCCAGCCGCTGGGCGGAATGGTCACGTACTTATGGCTGAAGTAGCAGAAGTAGTCCACTGCTGACCAGTGGAGAAAGCGATAGTCATCGTACTTCTCCGAGCTGTGGAAGTGGCTGCAGAAAGACAGGATTCTATCGTCGGGAATTCGGAATGCACACCCATCCACTCACCGATCCTCCAGGTAGTTGCCCATCATGTCGTGGCAGACGAGCAGCTCGCGCCTGTTCTGGTCGTCGACAGCACGTCGATGATTGCTGACAAAGTCTGCCTGCTTGTCCAGGTACACTCCGCCAGAGCGGATGCGCGTGTCCAGCGGCTGGACATATTGGCGCCAGTCAATGTCCCGACTACGCACTTGGAATGCCAGAAGCTGGCGGTTGTCCAGCACCGCTTCCGCCTCCAGTTGAGCTGCAAGTGACGGTGTTATATGAATGTGCCTGAACATCTTCTGAATTGCAGTTCCCGGATGTGAATTGCTCGAGTGTGCGCTTTCGAATGGGGCAAGTGCGGATTGCATGAGTGGGTCGCTGTCGATCGCCACCCCCAAGGCTCACTGCGGACTTATCGCGAATGGCTGTCGACCCGCCTAATCTTCAGAGAAAATTGCGCGGTGGCCCCAATTGCATGACGATGCCGACGAGACTTCTTTCGATGCCCGAGTCGACACCAGCTGTTATTCACCGATCCATCATTTCCATTTCCAGTCCTATTCCCACTCCCTTTTTCGAAGGACGGCGACTGACCCTTAGAGCAGTGTCACGGGCAAGTTTTCCAATCGTTATCCAGTCTAGATATGCAATAAAATGGGTTTCGCGCCTCAAATTTAGTCATGTATAAGATTATGGAAAGTGGATTATGGATTATTATACATAATAGAAGTATTCGGTACTGTAATTTTTGTAAAATTGCGATCACTTCTGTTGAAGATAATAGTAGTTTAATGGCTGTCAAGGCAGGGGGTAGACCACTACGACTAGATAAATAGTTTCCACTGGAGAACATGATAAATTAATGGGACTATTCTTTGTAATTCTGATCTGACGCAACATAGGTGATGATCTTTTTCCAATACCTAGTTAAAACAAACGCTTCTCTACTCTCCTTTGGGCCCATTTGCCCATCCCAGGAACTTGGCCAACTGTGGCATGGCATGGCATGGCACGGCGTTGGCCAACACTTATGCACTTCGTTTCAATTAGCAGCGACGTGGAACGTCCACTGCACTTAATGCGCAGTTAAATAATAGGAGAGCTCTTTGTTTTTATTACACTCCTGCCCGGCCTCCGCTTTAAAGCAGCTGCTGCGCTGCGAAGAGAACCAATGCTTCAGCTTATCGGCCTTATCGCTCATCCCGAACTTTCTCTCATTTGAGTACTTGAGCGCCCTTAGCCCCGAATCCCTAGCACCGAAATTTCATTTCTCGTTCGCTCACTGCCCTCGCCTTACCTACTCTATATTTCATGGGGCATATTAGTTTTGCAGCAGCTGGCTGTGTAACATTTCAAAGGGTTTTAGGTCCTTTAGACATCCTCCGTTTTAGCCAGTCATTACTAAGAAAACTGTAAGACTTTTATTGCAAAACTGTTTGAAAACTAAAAGGATCCCTCATAGATGATATATAGGAACGAGCGATCCTTAGTTTTAGTTTATTGTAATGTGGGATATGTCCTATATGGAACTACGCCTGAAAAGAGGTATTCAAATAAATCATCTTGTGTATTTAGGGGCAACCAAAAGCTAGTCTTTCTTTCTCGTTCCATTTTTTTTTTCTGGTGAATATTTGGGCAGCGCTCTCGCCCCAGGGTGGAGTGGAATGGAGTGGAGCGACCTTCGGACTCATTTCGATTGCAGTATAAAATTTGCAGCAGCATCAGCAATAGAAAGAGAAATAGAATCCAACGCTTCCTGTTGTGGCTGCCACTGCCACTACTGGCTGGTTGGTTGGTTCGTTCGGAAAAGTTTTCGCAACTGTTGAACGGATCTGGGAATGAAGAGGAGAGGGCAATGGGGGCGTCGTTTTTATGCAATTTGTGCGCTTTAGGAGTGGCAGCAGGCTCTGCGGGCGCCTGGGCGTAACTTTAATCTATCATTGCCGCCAGGATACGGATTCTGGCAAGCATGCAGCGAATACAAATGAGGGAAATGCGAGACGGCTTTGGATATGCTGTGGCTAAATGTGGGCCAATGCATACGGATCGACATTATCTCTGGATAATCTTTTATGCATTTTGCACAGTTATTACATGGAAGAGATATGTATGTATTATATATTAAATTTCTGTAAATGTATATGGCACGGGACATACATTTTTTGGGTTAATAAAAGATACCAAATATACCTTAAGCTTTCCTTAGGTAGTTGATTATGTAAGAGGAATGTTGTGGAAGAACTTGAATTATAAATATTCCATGTGAACTGTTGCTGAGTTCGCAGATCGAAGTAAATGAAATGTCATGTCACTTGGTTATAAAACCTTATACGGGACAAAAGTGTATGTAATGTGTTCTTATTTTAAAATCTTATTGGAAATGCACATATGAATGCACGTATTGCATATACATATATCTTCTTGATAAGTATCAATAGTCGAGTCGAAATAGGCGTCTATCCATCTTGGAAATCATAGTCGTACAGAGAGATTGTTCTCGGAAAAATACCCATTTTTCGTAGAAACTTAATAGAACTTATGGATAAACATATGATAAAACTTCGGCTCTGGCCTTCGGCTACCGCCGCGTCATCAAGAGCCATTCAACGCTTTGCATGTAACTGCATACAACAATAGAATACAACACAAAACTGATCAACACAAGAATATAAATAATTAGAACACAAAATGAGGTCAATTAATAGCTTGTTGCCATTGGCTTTTAATCAGCTACAGAAGATCACGGATTGCCTTGCGAATGGGCTACAGCCTGTGCCGTTTTCCAAGATGCCGAAGGAAGAAATGGAGAGGGCCGGGGTTTTGGTGGCTTCTTGCTTTCTGGATAAACTCTCTGTGAAAGATGAGCAGGAGAGCCAAATTCTGAAGATACTTTATGCACAGTAGACATCAAATCCAGTCCGTGGAGGCATGCCGGAATCGGATGAAGCTGCTCGCAGAATATGTTCGGCAACTGGTGGACAGTTGGGTCTCCAGTAAAAAGCTGTCCGTGTCCCAAATGTTCCGGTGATAGGCATTCTGTAGGAACTTGATGATTGTGCAGTCCTTGGTCCTTGGGCAGGTTTCGGTTCTCGTCCAGCGTCTTTTGTTCCTCCCCATTGACCGACATGACCTTTCCGAATGCCTCCTCTTCAGGTGCCGACCATGAGTTTGTTGACGTGCAGTAGGAAGTCCACCCATAATTGGAAAGTGATCCGTCGCAGCTGGAGTGGGAGACACTGCAAGAAAGTTTGGGGTTAGGCATTGAGTGGAAGCCTGTGATGTGGATTTTGCCTCTCACCGTTGAATCTCCGCTCTGAGAATGAAGGTAGTCGCTCTCGTCCAGCCACTTGAGGAATATCTTGTTCAGCTTAAGATTTATCTGGGGGACCTTGCCGTATGCCCCAGACAGTTCGTCCAGTGGTAAGGCTCCGTCGCTATGGGCTCACTGCTGTCATTGCAATTTGCGTGGTCCTATCTTTCCTCCTCTAAGAGAAAATTTTGTACTGCGTGAGGGCATCGGACAGCAGAGCCCAGGGAATATTGAGAATCTGCCCTATGCCCTCGCGCAGTAGAAGAATTTCCTCCTCGAGGAGGAAAGCGAGGACCATGCCAATTGTAAGGCCAGCACTGAACCGATAGCCACGGAGCACTACTACCGTCTGCTGGACGAATTTCGTGAGGCACACGGCGAGGTACCCCATATAACTATCAAGCTGAACAAGCTATTTTTCTCGGACAGAACAAACAATTTTGGAATGATACTTGAGCGGAGTAGATTATCGAAACATAAAAAACAAAGCATGACCGACAGACAAGGATTCGTTTTGGAAGCAAAGTCAATGTCAAATTCGAAAACGGAACACGCTGTGGCACAATGTCACGGCCATCCGTGATTTTCTGTAGCTGATTAAAAACCAATGGCAACAAGCTATGAATTGACCTCATTTTGTGTTCTATTTATTTATATTCTTGTGTTGATCAGTTTTGTGTTGTATTCTATTGTTGTATGCAGTTACATGCAAAGCGTTGCTTGGCTCTTGATGACGCGGCGGTAGCCGAACGCCAGAGTCGAAGACCCTGAGATCCAGTTTCATGTGTTCGATTTGCGACATGTTCGCTGTATGAACTGGCACAGCTATATACTGTATTGTTAGTGGTTCGTGGTTCAACCCATAGCGACAGAGTGTGGCCAGGCAACAGGAATCTAAGTACGGTCACACCGGTCAATCAGCTGTGTTTTCTTTACAAATGAATTCTGCCGCAGAGAACGGGATCCTTTGCGCCGTCGATGCTTCAGTGGCATGTGTCTGATCGGAATGGGTTCCGTTTTGCTGGCCCAGTCAGGAAGCAGTAAGCCACTGAAGGTCTTTGGAGCCGCTGCCGGTGCTCTGGGCGTGGCTCGTCTCACAAGTGTGTGGCAACTGAAGCAGCAGGAGAGCCAGTCAGTCCCCGAAGATTCTCGAGAGTCTCATAAGTGTGTGCAATGATCATGTTTTGAATATCTCCATAAGCTAAATTACTCTGCATCCTGCCTCCAGCGGAGGAAAGAGACACAGAAAACGTGACACGAATTTAATTTTTGACTGATTAAAGATATAGCCCCATCTTATTGCTACCTTTTTTTTGTTTCTGCATCTGCCAGTTGAGATAAGCCTCAGTCGTCGTATTTCTGTATTGGGTTTTCGTCCTAGTAGTAGAATCGAAAAGGGAATAGTTTTGGGCAGATCGTGGAACTGGACTTGGAGAATCCTCGAGCTCCGATCAGGCGCAAGTCCAATTCCAGGAAACTGTCCTTGTACCCAAACAAAAGACTTTTAATCAAAGTTTGTGAAGTTGTAGTTACAGAATTAAAAGAGATAATAGTGCGGACTTCTCACAATAAAGAATATACAATACGCTCGTAGAGAGCATTTCTTGGTAGACTATCGTTTAGATTATCGAACATAATCCAAAGTCATACATACATAAAAATACATGTGCATTATACTATGTACTATGTGGGTTTCTAAGCCCATTACACATTATAGTATCATCAATAATGATAACAGAAGAAAGTACGAAAGCTAAAGGAGGGGTGCGCCGCGGTATGCACAAACAAGCAGTTTCTTGAAAGCCAAAACAGTTGGAGAGTTTCGAGAGTGCTTCTATTTCCGCAATGCAAGATTGCGGGGAGCATTATGCTGTCCTCTGCAAGAGTATACAAATAATAAAAATGACTAATGTCGACGCTCCACGGGATTCTCTTATGGGTGTACTTTCTAGATAAGATAATGTACAAAAAATTGTTGGTACACCGATTTCCCTCTGATTACAGTACGTATCAAGACTTTAGGTCACTTTACAGCCGCTTTAAAACACAAAGCGATTGAATTTCTAACTTCTAACTTATCACATGTTAAGTTAATTATTTAACAGAAAATGTAATATTTTCCATTTGAGAATTAGTAAATGTTATTCTAATTATAATTACATAGAACCTATGGATGAACCTATGATAGAACTCATTATAGTATAGATAATAAATTATTGGACGAGTTTCAACCACTAACCATACAGCATATACATACATATGCAGATGTGCCAGTTCATACAGCACATCGAACACATGAAACTGGATCTCAGGGTCTTTGGCTCTGGCGTTCGGCTACCGCCGCGTCGTCAAGAGCCATTCAACGCTTTGCATGTAACTGCATACAACAATAGAATACAACACAAAACTGATCAACACAAGAATATAAATAAATAGAACACAAAATGAGGTCAATTAATAGCTTGTTGCCATTGGCTTTTAATCAGCTACAGAAGATCACGGATTGCCTTGCGAATGGGCTACAGCCTGTGCCGTTTTCCAAGATGCCGAAGGAAGAAATGGAGAGGGCCGGGGTTTTGGTGGCTTCTTGCTTTCTGGATAAACTCTCTGTGAAAGATGAGCAGGAGAGCCAAATTCTGAAGATACTTTATGCACAGTAGACATCAAATCCAGTCCGTGGAGGCATGCCGGAATCGGATGAAGCTGCTCGCAGAATATGTTCGGCAACTGGTGGACAGTTGGGTCTCCAGTAAAAAGCTGTCCGTGTCCCAAATGTTCCGGTGATAGGCATTCTGTAGGAACTTGATGATTGTGCAGTCCTTGGTCCTTGGGCAGGTTTCGGTTCTCGTCCAGCGTCTTTTGTTGCTCCCCATTAACCGACATGACCTTTCCGAATGCCTCCTCTTCAGGTGCCGACCATGAGTATGTTGACGTGCAGTAGGAAGTCCACCCATAATTGGAAAGTGATCCGTCGCAGCTGGAGTGGGAGACACTGCAAGAAAGTTTGGGGTTAGGCATTGAGTGGAAGCCTGTGATGTGGATTTTGCCTCTCACCGTTGAATCTCCGCTCTGAGAATGAAGGTAGTCGCTCTCGTCCAGCCACTTGAGGAATATCTTGTTCAGCTTAAGATTTATCTGGGGGACCTTGCCGTATGCCCCAGACAGTTCGTCCAACAGCCGGTGGTAAGGCTCCGTCGCTATGGGCTCACTGCTGTCATTGCAATTTGCGTGGTCCTATCTTTCCTCCTCTAAGAGAAAATTCTTGTACTGCGTGAGGGCATCGGACAGCAGAGCCCAGGGAATATTGAGAATCTGCCCTATGCCCTCGCGCAGTAGAAGAATTTCCTCCTCGAGGAGGAAAGCGAGGACCATGCCAATTGTAAGGCCAGCACTGAACCGATAGCCACGGAGCACTACTACCGTCTGCTGGACGAATTTCGTGAGGCACACGGCGAGGTACCCCATATAACTATCAAGCTGAACAAGCTATTTTTCTCGGACAGAACAAACAATTTTGGAATGATACTTGAGCGGAGTAGATTATCGAAACATAAAAAACAAAGCATGACCGACAGACAAGGATTCGTTTTGGAAGCAAAGTCAATGTCAAATTCGAAAACGGAACACGCTGTGGCACATTGTCACGGCCATCCGTGATTTTCTGTAGCTGTTTAAAAACCAATGGCAACAAGCTATTAATTGACCTCATTTTGTGTTCTATTTATTTATATTCTTGTGTTGATCAGTTTTGTGTTGTATTCTATTGTTGTATGCAGTTACATGCAAAGCGTTGCTTGGCTCTTGATGACGCGGCGGTAGCCGAACGCCAGAGTCGAAGACCCTGAGATCCAGTTTCATGTGTTCGATTTGCGACATGTTCGCTGTATGAACTGGCACAGCTATATACTGTATTGTTAGTGGTTCGTGGTTCAACCCATAGCGACAGAGTGTGGCCAGGCAACAGGAAACTAAGTACGGTCACACCGGTCAATCAGCTGTGTTTTCTTTACAAATGAATTCTGCTAAAAATTCGTTAGATATTTGATAGAAATTTTTAGCACAGTTGGCTCTGGAGAACGAATCGACACTTCCAGAAGCTCCATTTATTTCCTTTATAAGGGATTGGGTTTTTCCAGATATAGATTTATATATTTTTTTCGATCACAAAGTAAAAAACAAAATGATTCTGCTATTTTGCCGCAGAGAACGGGATCCTTTGCGCCGTCGATGCTTCAGTGGCATGTGTCTGATCGGAATGGGCTCCGTTTTGCTGGCCCAGTCAGGAAGCAGTAAGCCACTGAAGGTCTTTGGAGCCGCTGCCGGTGCTCTGGGCGTGGCTCGTCTCACAAGTGTGTGGCAACTGAAGCAGCAGGAGAGCCAGTCAGTCCCCGAAGATTCTCGAGAGTCTCATAAGTGTGTGCAATGATCATGTTTTGAATATCTCCATAAGCTAAATTACTCTGCATCCTGCCTCCAGCGGAGGAAAGAGACACAGAAAACGTGACACGAATTTAATTTTTGACTGATTAAAGATATAGCCCCATCTTATTGCTACCTTTTGTTTGTTTCTGCATCTGCCAGTTGAGATAAGCCTTAGTCGTCGTATTTCTGTATTGGGTTTTCGTCCTAGTAGTGGAATCGAAAAGGGAATAGTTTTGGGCAGATCGTGGAACTGGACTTGGAGAATCCTCGAGTTCCGATCAGGCGCAAGTCCAAGTCCAGGAAACTGTCCTTGTACCCAAGCAAAAGACTTTTAATCAAAGTTTGTGAAGTTATAGTTACAGAATAAAACTGTGGAGATGATCATAAAAGAGATAATAGTGCGGACTTCTCACAATAAAGAATATACAATACTCTCGTAAAGAGCATTTCTTCGTAGACTATTGTTTAGATTATCGAACATAATCTAAAGTCATACATACATAAAAATACATGTGCATTATACTATGTACTATGTGGGTTTCTAAGCCCATTACACATTATAGTATCAATAATGATAACAGAAGAAAGTACGAAAGCTAAAGGAGGGGTGCGCCGCGGTATGCACAAACAAGCAGTTTCTTGAAAGCCAAAACAGTTGAAGAGTTTCGGGAGTGCTTCTATTTCCGCAATGCAAGATTGCGGGGAGCATTATGCTGTCCTCTGCAAGAGTATACAAATAATAAAAATGACTAATATCGACGCTCCACGGGCTTCTCTTATGGGTGTACTTTCTAGATAAGATAATGTACAAAAAATTGTTGGTACACCGATTTCCCTCTGATTACAGTACGTATCAAGACTTTAGGTCACTTTACAGCCGCTTTAAAACACAAAGCGATTGAATTTCTAACTTCTAACTTATCACATGTTAAGTTAAATATTTAACAGAAAATGTAATATTTTCCATTTGACAATAAGTAATTTGGCCTTGCTCTTATTTTCTATAAATTTGAAAAATTTCGCTACTTGATTAGAAGATTTGAATAACAATTTCAATAAAGTAGAATACATATGTAATGAAGGAAATGTAATCCAACTCGCAAATGGCACAATAATCTTTGTTTTACAATTTCGTTGGTGTCGTATAGCTTCGAAACGCACCTTAGAAGGTACATGCATGTACATACATACATATGTATGTATGTAGTATGCTTATAAGTACAAATGTATGTAGTAGAACGTACGGCATCCACAGGTGCTGGCATCCAGACAAACTTTTTGGTCCCCTCCCACGCATGACGTCAAAATCTCTTGCTTCTGCTCCTGCTCCTCCTCCTCATCCACCACCACAGCCGGTATTTGCGGGGGTTCCTCTTCTTTGCTGTGCTGATTGCAACCGGTTTCCGAATTGCCGGAATTGTTGCCGCTATCCAGGACGATATCGTTCTGTTCTGTGTGATTGTTGACCTCCCCGCTATTTGCCGGTACTTTATCGGGGACTGCATCTTTCGGATTGGATGCAGACCTCTTCATTTTGCACACCGATAAACTTGAAACGCACAAATTTTAACTAAAACTCCAACGAGAATGGACACAGCTCCAGTGATTGTTTTGATTGTTTGGTGATTCAACAACAATACAGCGTCTCATATGATGAAAAAACGAACTTAGCCCACCCAAGCCCCCTCTTTTTAAATAGATGAACTACTTGAGGTAGATGGCTGAAAAAATTAAATATTGTAAATTCTTCTTGTAAAAAAGCACGATATCTTTCACCTAAAATGATTGAATTTTCATTATTTTTGGTGGAATATTACAATACGCCCTTGGCTTACAATGGGTTAATAGTTCTCCGTCAATGATTGGAAACCATATTCCTCGATTTAGGAATATTACTAGGAATATTACTAGCTGTATAGATCTCTCAGCCTTGCCCACATAATTTAATCCAATTAAGGAACGTATTTTCTACTTGATTGGTTTATTTTAAATACTTGCTCTTATTGGACTTTTCCAAAAAAAAGGTTTTAGCAAAAAAGGTCAAACCAAAAAAAAAAAGTAAGAGAGTAATCGGTCCCATTGTTCAATTTTAATATTCCGTTTAATAATGCTGGCTAACTAAAACCTTCAGTCCTGCCCACATAGTTGAATACATTTTCTACAAGATTATTTACTTTTAAGTACTCCCATTTGTTTTGTTTTGACTAAAACCAGGTATAAACCAAAAAGTTCAACAAAAAACAGTCGCAATATGCTGGTTTGAAGACTTGTTGCTTATCAACCGGAGTATAGGCATTTGTATAGATACTGTAGATACTGTTTTCCAAACTGTTTTTAAAACGTAATTAGTAAAGAAATTTTCTCAAATTTATATGTTGTTAGTTTAATTTCTTGTGTATATTTTGATCCCGATTCAAATTCTTGGTCTCCATAAGAAGGCAATAAAGTGCAAAATATCGTTGTGATAGCTTGAAAACAGAGACTGACTAGTTTCATTTCCGCAATTCTATAATATCCTTTTCCCTAAGATATGCAGATCCGTGTCATGTTGAGGGATATGCTGTTCGTTAACCTTAACCGATTTAAAGAGGGCAAAAAGAGCCGAATGGTGCGCGCCAAATAGAAATTGTTTGAAAGTGAATGAGCGACAAGCATTTAAATGCAATCCATTGGAATAAATTAGGACGATTTGAGAGAAAAAACTGCGAATGGAAGTTTCTATACCCTTTGTTCTTGAATATTCCCTTAAAAATGAAATTGAATAGAATTGTGTGATAGCACAATCAGCTGTCCCAATGGCGTGCTGTATTGGCATATGCCAAACGCTGTCGCGGCAGTGTTGTAAAACTAGTAATGGGCGCGCGCGCGCTCCTTTTCAAATTTAACTTCAATTGATTTGCATACCAAAATGGAAAATTAATTATTTTTGTTGCCTTGCTATATTATTAAAATTTATGACTCGTCTCGTCTCCTTTTAGCTTCTTGGCAGTTCGCGGCGCTGCATTGGCGCCACTGCCAGCGTAACGACCGAGTTGCCGGCCAAGGACGCAAGACGCAGGATGCATTGCAGTCTACTCCACCCATAAATTGCAATTAAACAAGAGCCAACGAGAGAGAGAGCCGAGTTGAGCCGGACACCAGCCACAGAAATAACACCAAGAGGAATAACAAAACAAAAACACTTAACTTTGCTGGCAAGGGCGGCAAAAACCAAAAAAAAAAAAACGCGCAATTGTTTTATTAGTTGCAAAAACTTTTCCATTTTTGTGGCATTGTTTTGGTTGAAAGCTGAAACAAAATGCCAGCGGGTCGTGTGGCTGGCAAAGCCGGCTACTCCAATCATTACTACAATGGTAAGTGTTTCGATAATTATCCATTCCGAAAACAAGCACACCCCCACACACCACACACCACCCACAACCCACCTCCCCCTCACTGATGAGAGTTTAAAGAGATGACCATTTCTGCGTACAGCTGGTGCCAAAAGTCATGCCACAAAGGCCACAACTACAGGCCTCCAAGAATCCTCCTGACAATGATTTGATTTTGATCAGATTTCGTTCAATCGATTATAGCAATAATAAGTGCATATGTTTTTCCTGTATTCCTGAATCCATTGCAGTAAATTCATATAGATTTGGGCTCGTTAGATGCATCTCCAGCTCTCATGCAAGTTCATAAATGTGACAAAACCTGTGCACCCTCTCCCAGGGTATCCTCCATTCTCCATCCCCCATCTATTCCACTCAATCGAACATTTCCCTTGATTGATTCACATTTATTCATGAATCCTTTTGGTTTCTTTGGTTTCATCCTTGTCTCGTCTCTGGCCAGGCCGCTCGTACGTGGGCATCAACGAGGAGATCATGTGGGTCAGCATTGGGATGGGCGTGACCATAGCCCTGCTGATAACGATTGCCCTGTGCTACATTGCTCGGGAGAAGTGCCAGAAGCGGCAGCGCGAGTACTATGTGACCGCATAGTTGTTGTATGCTGCCTGCCACACGACGCACGGCCACGGCGGCATGCAAATGATGCAAGAGCTGGAACAGAAGCGCAAGCGACAGCGGAACCGGGAGCGGGCCGGGGAGCAGGAGCCGCCGGCAACCATTCACTGCAGCCTTCCGATGAATGTGGGAGTGGGCGTGGCAGCTGCCGGAGGAGCTGAAGGAGGAGCAGCAGTGGGAGTCGGAATGGATGCAGCAGCAGCAGCAGCAGAGGAGGCAGCAGCAGCAGCAGCATCAGCCGTCACAGTCATGCATTGGTCTGTGGTTGACATCTGTGGGGCACGCAGTTGGGGCTGATGCGACTTCACCCCTCCCTCCACGAAGTGTTTTATGCAGACAACGCCCACCCACCACCCACCACCCATCCAACACGCACCCTCATCCATGCCCAAGGCAGTGAGATGAGTAATTTTTTTGTCGTAGGAATAATAAGACAGAAAAAGAGAGAAATATAGATGGAAAGAGAGAGAGGGAGAGCAGCTGTCAGCTGCATTTCTTTATAGCCAAAAAACCTGTTATTGTATTTGCCGGAATATATACCACATATATATATACATATAATATAAATACCCACAAAAACATAAACGAATTGATTTGAATAAATTACATAGTCTGTTGCCGTTGGGCAATTCAAACTGGGCGCTCTCTTGACCTTTATTTGACAGTCTGGCATCACCGTTTTCAACCACAGCTGATTTGTTAACGTCCCGTTGCGAATGGCACTGCTTGGGAAGAAGCAGCTTGCGCGCACGTTTTTTGATCAAGCAGTTCACTATATTTCAATAATTCCCCAAATGCTATAGAAATGGTGGACAACATATCGCTGAATGTGAGTGCCAAGGCATCGGCCGGTAAGACCCCACAAAAGGTGAGTGTTCCGTTCCCCGAAGTTCCATTTGTGAAAGGCAGCTCAATATTGACCGCGTTCCGTTTCAGAAAACTGCGCGGCAGCCCGTGGCAGGCAAACGCGCTCCGGCGTCCAGCAATTTCGATTTCCAGTTCAATGCGGATGAGAAGCCCAAGGTAAAGGCCATAGTAGTGCGGCGACGGGTCCCCACCAGGGTCCAGGCAAAGCCTACTCCTCCTGCTGCTGCTACTGCTCCCGCTGCCGCTCCTCCTACCCATGCTTCCTCGCTCTCTGGGGATCTCATGTTCAATGCGACCACATCCCAGCCAGCTCCCAGCCTGGGCCATGATCTTATGCTCAATGTAAACGCAGCGCCAGCAAAGACTGGTCCAGTGGCCAAGACCAAGCCCAAGACCACGAGGGCCGAGCGCATGGGCAGCAAGAAACGCAGCAATCCTGTGTCCAAGCTGAGCGACGAGCAACTCAAGCGCGCCCTGAAGGCGCGCAAGGGCCAGCCGGAGAACCCCAACAAACTGCCACGTGCTGGCGACATCTTCAAGGCGCGGATCGAGGAGGAACGAAAGAAGAATATCGCTGAGAATGCAGTAGCAGAAGAGCCCGAAAAACAGGAAAAGCAGTCGGAACAGAAGCAGGAGCCAAACGAATCAAAGACGTCCACTGGCCCATCGATGAATCGCTTTCGCACAAAGAAAATCGGACTCTTCGATCAGAGCGATGTGGAGGCCCTCAAGCAGCTGGGCCAGCGGACGGTGAAGCCCGTCAGGGAGACGATATTCGCTGGCAGTAAAGTCGCGAGTCTCGGGCTGCATGCGCATGCGGTGAAGAATCTTGAGGACCTGCTTAGCATAACAGAGCTGACGACAGTGCAGCAGAAGACCATACCGCACGTACTGAGCGGCAAGGATGTGCTCGTGCGCTCCCAGACGGGCTCCGGCAAGACTCTGGCCTACGCCCTGCCGCTGGTGGAGAAGCTCCAGGGCCAGGTGCCGCATATCAAGCGCACCGACGGCGTCGTGGCCCTGATCATCGTGCCCACCCGCGAGCTGGTCGTGCAGACGTACGAGCTCTTCCAGAAGCTGGTCAAGCCCTACACATGGATCGTACCGGGATCCCTGCTGGGTGGGGAGAGTCGCAAGAGCGAGAAGGCGCGCCTGCGGAAGGGAATCAATGTGCTGGTGGGGACGCCGGGCCGCCTGGTCGACCATCTGCTGCACACGGCCTCCTTCAAGCTGTTTCGCCTCCAATTCCTGGTGCTGGACGAGGCCGATCGCCTGCTGGAGCTCGGATACGAGCGGGACGTCAAGCAGCTGGTGGAGGCCATTGACAAGCACCGGTTGGAGGCCCAGGGGCAGGACGAGAAGTTGCCGCAGCTGCAGCGCCTGCTGCTGAGCGCAACGCTCACCGCCCAGGTCCAGGAGCTGGCCGGGCTCGCCCTCAGCGATCCCCTCTACATCGACAACAGCGACGAGGCGGCCAGTGCAGCGCTCAAGAGCAAGGAGGGCTACCAGAAGGACTCGATCGAGGCCCAGCTGGAGCCGGACGATGGCCTGGGTGAGTATCAGGAGGACGTAACGGGCGTGCTCAGCATCCCAGAGAATCTGCACCTGAGCTACATCGTGGTGCCGGCCAAGCTCCGACTGGTGGCCCTCTCCTCGCTGCTGGCCAAGGAACTGGCCGCCAGCCCCAAGCAGTTCAAGGCCATCATCTTTATGAGCACCACGGAAATGGTGAACTTCCATCACGACATGCTCAACGAGGCCCTCACCCGGCGCGTGCTCGACGAGGACGACGAGCAGGTCAAGGACAATGACGAGGACTCTGACGAGCAGGACACCAGCACACCGCTACTCCAGGGACTGCGCTTCTTCAAGTGAGTGGGGGAGTGGGAACAGATCATTGGCTGGCATTACCTCCAAGTACCAGAGACTATAGAGGCTGTAGAGACTGTTATGCCACATAGATTTTAGATAAGATATTTAAGGATATTTATGTACAAAGCATAATTGAAAGAATCAGGAATATCATAATCATGGATAGGGCGTGCCATGATACACAGAAGTCTGTGGAAGCTAGGATGATAGAGCCTCCTAGGCCATGTATGATCAAGGCCACTGTGTAGGGTCCTGGATGTACTCCGCTAGCTCTTTGGGCCCATCTTTGTCTGTCATCTCCGTCTGTGCCTCTAAGATCTGCAAAGTTCTCCATATACATATCGTATATAGAAATATATAGGCTGCATTAACCGAGAGCGAAACTTTCTGGTTAATATTTATGGCAAAAATCGTGTGCAACTCATTTAAACATTCAAAAATGTACAATATCAACGGATGACTATGGCACACTAGGACTATGTTATGTTATGGTCCTTTAAACTCCTTTAAGAATGAAAATATCTTCCCATAGAACATGAGCATACACTCGGATCGAATGTATGAATGAACGATAAAGCTTCAGGGCTAAATCGAATATCGAATCTCCATTGACTTTTTCGTTTTGTTTTTGCAGACTGCACGGCTCCATGACCCAGACGGAGCGTCAGGGCGTCTTTCGGGGATTCAGGGACTGCGCCAGCTGTGTGCTACTGGCCACCGATGTGGTGGGCCGTGGCATCGATGTGCCCGACATTAAGCTTGTGATCCAGTATACGCCGCCCCAGACCACGGCGGACTTTGTGCATCGTGTGGGACGGACGGCGCGTGCGGGCCGCAAGGGCAGGGCCGTGCTCTTCCTGGCCCCCAGCGAATCGCAGTTTGTGCGGCACCTGGAGAACAAACGCATCCGGATCCAGCAGGGCGACATGTACGCCTATCTGCAGACCCTGCTGCCGCTCGACGACGAGGCGCGAACCGTTCAGGAGGCGGCGTCCAATCTCCAGCACAAATTCCAAACGCTCCTCGAGGATGATCGCGAGCTGCACGACAAGTCCTGCAAAGGTGAGGCTTCCCTTTCCTTCCCTTTCCTTCTATTTCCTTCCTTTCCAAATGTCTCATTTGGCCAGTTCCCATGGCATTTACTTTTCCAATTGGCTCGAATTCCAACCCAAAGACCGACACTCGCCGGACTCGCTGGACTCTCTGGCCGAACCAGCAATTTAATTCTTTCACCAAGAGAACATTAACTTTGTAATTATGATTTTTTACGACACAATTCTCGCTCGGCGCTCTTCTACTACAAAAAGTGGGAAAACAGACAGAAGCGGGAGGGAAAACACACACACACACACACACACAAACAGTCCTCTGTGCTATTTTTCCAATTATAAGTTGGACGTACTCTCCACGCCCCCTACTGTCTCCGTAAGTCCCCGGTCCTTGGACCACACCAGCCATCAGCCATCATCATCGGGGGGCAACGCGCGTTAAAAACACAAAAATTATTTCATATTTGAAGTTAATTTCGATTGCGTGTCAAATGGATCCACTCGACTCCACTCCGCCCAGTTCTCTGTCCCCTGTCCAGCCAGCCAGCCAGCCAGCTATCCTTCCTTCCTTCCACCCTCAATAGCCAGGGGGGCAAATGGCCAACAGCGACTCCTTTCATCGTCCTGAACCTTTTCTGTTTTTCTGCTTTTTCAGTTTTTTTTTTTATTTCCCTTTATACTTTATTTTATTTCCCTTGCCGACAACGGAAAGTGGAAAAGGGTATATACGTTTTAGTATCGGTATAACCATCTTTTGGAACTATTTAAATATATAATGCACAAAGAAGGTGCTGTGGAAAAGGTGTTGAGCCATTAAAAGAGCTTAAAGAAGGAACTATAGATATGACTATAAGAACATCTATGGTTCCCTGCTCTCGTTCGAGCAAAAAGAGGACTCTGTCCAAGCTATGGTTACAGAATCCTCAGTAGAATCGATAAAGAGTGCTCCTACTGTACTCCATTTGGGAGGTGCTGTGGATAGTCTTTGAAATACCCTGAAAACATACGGATTCTTTGGGAAACTCCCAATTTGATTGGAATGGAAAACCCCTCACAGGGTATCCCAAGTGCTGGGCTATACTATTTGTTTCCTCTTTACAACTGTCAATCCCCACCCAATCAATGGTAATGTTAATGTCCTGTTGAAATTGTAATTGGAGCCTTGGATGGATAGGGATGGGGATAGGAAAAAAGTTAATTAGATGTTACCAAGGCCCTGGGCCAGCAGCGGCAGCAGGTTGAAGGGTTGTCCCTGTTGTGGGGTTCGGGGGAAAAAAACGCCGCTATAGAAGAACTTTTTCCCATGTTTTCAAGGAGACCAGGGAAATGGAAAATCGAACAACGCCCCGCCAAATGGAGAGCAGAGCACAAAATGAATGCAAAATGAATCATAAGAGCCGGAGGTGGGAGACGGCCACTGATGGCGACTCGAAACAGGAAACGGAAACTGAGCAAAATATCCAAATGGCTTTCAGGCCAATCGCAAAACAATAGCTAGACAGCAACAGCAGGCCAACAAAACCGATATGGATGGAGCAGCAAAGAGAAATGGAGAAAGGAGAAAGAGGCATGACTAGAAAGAGAATTGGCTGGAGAGGAGAGGAGAGAAGAGGAGTCGAGGCGAGGCGAGGCGAGTCGAGTCTGTCAAAATGGCAACTCCAATTGCACTTAAGCGCCGAGTCAAGCGTCAAGGCAGGAAGCCACTTGGCAAAACTTGAGAGCAGCAACCGAACGAAGGGGGAGTGGGGGAATGCAATAAAACCAACGGAGACAGAGACAGAGTCAGATACAGATACAGACTGGGGGACAGAGAGGGGGAGAGAGAGAGAGATGCAGTTTGCTGCGGCTGCTGCTGCTCCTCCTGCTGCTGCTTTGCTGCGTCCAATCAAAAAGCCATTAAAAAGTATTACGCTTGAACAAAACTGTACAAAGCAGCAGATAAAAGCAGTTAGAACAGCCAACATCAGCCATCAGCAGGGAGAAGAAAGGAGCAAATGTGGCAGATGAGAGATGGCACCAAAAACTGTGGCACAGGAGGTACGAGTAGTTCTGTGGGTGGCATTGGCAGTGGCAGTGGAGTCAAGAGTCCCTCGCTTTCCATCGGTAATTGAAACAATTTTCAAGTTGAAATTCACTTTTTCTTCCACCAATCCAAGGCGGGATTCAGCTTTCAACGTTTCAGTATCTCCCACAGATGACTATGTGGCTCCCCCGTGTGCTACAGTGCGTATCAAGGGTGCAAGGCAATGGCAAGCACATCTCAAGGGAAACTGCGTGCACGGCACACACAAATATATTTATTAACAAAACACTAATGGTCTCTGTGCAGTTTTATGGAAACAAAGAAACGTCTATTCTCTATTTGAATTCATCCTTTTAGATGCCGTCCAAGCCCCTGATGTTTGCCTCACAGAAAAGAGAGCATTTTCGATGCTAGTTAGTATTTATGTACAGATATTCTTGATAAGCATCAATCAGGAAAACTGCTTGTAAAAAGTAATCGATGACTTTAAAAAAGAATCAGCGATACATATATCGATCGAATAGATAATCATCGATGAGTTTTAAATAATGATAGCCGAATAATCGATGACTATAAAAATTTAATAGGGAAATCTTCGATATATATATATCGATTTAAAATATGAATAGATAAATCATCGATGAGCTTTTAAATAATTTATGACTGTACAAATTTAATAGACGAATCCTCGATTACTTTCAAAAAGTAGTAGTAGCGGATTACGTTTTCAGCCAAAACGTTTCGTTTTTGTTTTAGGGTTCTCCAGTTTTCACATATTTTTGCTGTTTGCACCAAAACGAAAATTGTTGTTGCCCTGGCCCATTTTTTCCGAGCCAAATTTGAGGTTGGGCTAAAATAAAATTATTTATAAAGAAAGCAAAAGTTAAATTACCCTGATATATGTAGGTGTCAAGTTTATGTTAATGCATCAATAAGTCATCTATATTTTTTTCCTTTTGCAATTAAGGTTTGTTTCGTTGTATAAAATGCCGTTTACTTTTCATTTCGTCAAAGAAGATGTTTTCGTTTTGAAAACGAATAAATCTTGCGGAATGTGAAAACGGGTGCCCAAATTTATGAGTATTCAAAAGTAGATCGGAAAACTTATGAGAATGTGAAAAACGGATCCTGGCTGAATGACTTCAAAAAAGTAATCGATTAATAGCCCTATGCACCACCATTTGTACTCTATGAACCAAACCGAATTATCGATTTTACGGGGTTTTTTTTTTGTTTAATGTTTTAAGATTTTTTGTAAAACAATGGTATTTGTTTTTAATGTTTTTTAGAGGTAGTGCTTCTTTTTTCCCATAACTTAAGTGAGTTAAATTTGGTTGTACTGAGCTTTGCAGTTCTGAAAAGCTGATAATGCCACTATAAATCGCCCCTTCAGCTTTCCGTTTGGAAAATATTAGGCTCTCAATTGCAAACAATTTTTTCGACTTTTAAAAGTCAGGAAAAGACGATAAAAATGTTATATTTTTTGTGTTTAAATTTTATATTTGTATAATTTATTTCACAAAAAAGGAGTCGGTTTGGTTTTGTTTGTGTTGTTGTCTAGTGTAATTCTGGATTCGATTATTCAATTTATTCGATGCAGTAAAACCTTTCTAAAGAAGGCTGCTCGATTGGAATTCTCTCTTGATCAGATTTCGATTCCACGATGCCCCTTAATCGAATTTCTTTTACTTATTATTACATTTTGTTGATGATAAATTACTGGAATGTGATATACGATGAAGATTTCCATACGTATGATTATCATTTTCTCGACTCGATTGAAATAAATCTTTGGTATAATCCACAAGCGGAACCAGCCTTTTGAGGATTTAGAAACTTGAATAGAAACATCCGAATATATTTCTTGACAGATCTGTAAATCCCGTTCCATCCATAGCAATTTTGAGTGTACATTTGTATTTCATATTAATTTACTTATTCAGTTTCTATGTCTACATTTTTGATTTTCCCCCCTAGATAGAACCCTTTGAAATATAGTCATCAGGCGAGAAGGAAGTGTACCTTTGTGGCTGCCTAACCACTAGCTCCGCATTCGCCTTCGTCCATTTTAGGCCACTTATTAGGGGACTGCTATATGCCCCGTATATCCGCATATCCGAGTACCACATGAGCACACAAAAACAGGCCTTTGGCGAAAATCCTACGCCAGTGAAACCCTTCGGGGGGACAGCGTGAGAGAGAGAGAGCGAGAGAGAGAACGGATTAAGAAGGACACAAAAGGAAAAACAATCACAACAATTTGCCACGCCTACAACGTACAACAAAGCAAACGAAAACCGCATGGACACGCGCGCGCTTTATAAAATATCCGCTTGCATTTTGGCCTCCGTTGAGCCGTTGAGCTGCTGACGGGAGCATTAGCCACACAGTCCGCAGTCGGCAGTCCCAGGGTCACCCACCCTCCACCCTCCACCACCCAACACCCAACACCCACTCCAATCACGCTCAAATTCCTTGCCAGCGGAGACAATGGGCCAAAACGCTGGCAGGACGACAGGCAGGCGGCAGGCAAAGTAGCATAAAAGCCATTTTGTGCGGTTTCTGTGGCAAATTCAAAGGAGACTGGCACTGGTATGGAGTGGGAGAGAGTAGTGGAGTAGTGGTGTATATTCTCTCGAATGACATTTATTTTATTCGCTACTTCCGGCTGGCAGACGTCTCTAAACATCCGCTGCCGTCATACTTTTTGTTTATTTAATGTCTGCCACTTGACTGTAATCGCATTTGCGGCAATTAAGCCAGACCCAGAGACAAGGGCTTGACTTTGAGACTTCGAGAGACCCACACAAAGGACGAAAGGGACTCTCTGGCTCTACGCAAAGAATGGCCCGCGTGTGAGTGAGAGTGCCAGTACGGCGGATACGGCGTACGGTTACGGACTGAACAACGACCGAGACCGAGACGAGACGAGGCGGGACGGCTGCTGTGAGTTAATTGCTTGGGCAGGAACGTCTTTGCATCCATCTCGTCCGGCTACCACCACACCCTCTCTCTCCACTCCCCGGATCTGCTTTCCCCGTACTCCTGACATATCCACCCCCGGATACGACTTGGTCATGGTGGGTGTGTGGGAGCTTGAGGTGTCTCGGATTTGCGGCCTGCGGTTGGTTCCTCGCCCCTGATTCATGAGCAATCAATTATGGGACACTAAAAAGGAAATGGAACTGCTTCATTTGGTTAATGATACTCGTACTAGCTGGAAAATGTTTCTGTTTGGCAGGCTATTGGGGTATCGACTCCAAGCACTGAAACGAAGCCAGAAAAAAACCAAAACAGCCCAAAAGAATCGTCTCGTGAAACATATTTAGTTTCAAACAATCTCGAGTGGGGTCTTCTGTGTTCAGTATCCATTCCATATCGCAGGTTTCCAGCTTTTCCACAATAAAATACTCTCGTTGGCCAGCATTATCCCATTATACATCCCAAATGTACATCAGAATTCCAATCCAGACCAATCCTATTTTCATTATCATTAATTGTTCATTTTAGATTTCAGATTTATTTTATTTTATAGTTTATTAATTATTAGGTAACAAGATATTTTCGGAATAATTTAAATAGAATATATATTTCTCGATAATTTATTTGTTAAAATATAATTTTTTCTGTGTTCAGTACGATTCCCGGCTCTAAATAGATATGTATCTATGTTCCAGAGACTAGTTCCTGTATAGGATCTGTCTCTTGGTATTCAGGCTGATTACTTGGCCCCTCGTGAGGTCCTTGACACAAGGATTTGTTGCGGTTTCAATTGTTTTCCATATCCAGTTGGAGATGATATGATGCACACGAGTACCGTACCTCTTTGCCATTGTGCGCACACCCTTGGCTCCTCTGCTCGTCTGCCACTTCGCATCTGCCTTGTTTGATGTAGATACGAGGCATGCCTCGTACATTTCGTTGCATTTTTCATTTCACATCTAATTTACATATCTCACTTTCACTGTCGCCGTTGCCGTTGTTGTCTCTCGCTCGAGATGCTTATCGGGGTAACAATTGCGGTCTTTGTTGGTGAGTGCCACCGCAGTTGGTAATTTGATATCATTGTTGTATAATTTGGATTTGCCTGGCATAAGTGCTGCGTAATTAGCAAGGACATGCCCACAACACCAAAAGGAACGGAACGGAACAGAACGGAACCCTGCAACACAGCCAAACCGCACAGAGTCAGTCGCACAATGGAGACGACATGGATGTGGAAATCCTTTGGTGACATTGCTCATTTGTCATTTTAACAAATTTATTCTGTAATGAATGCCACACACACACACTCATACACATGGACACATGAGGCAGAGAGCACTTAAGCCAAGACATCAATTAATTCTAAAAGCATTAACATGCTACATTTGCCCCCCTCCCCACACGGCTGTTCTCACTCTGTCGCTAACCTTTGTTTCCCTCCGCTTTTGTTTGATTTGCAGCCTTTGTGTCCTGGATGAAGTTCTATTCGACATTTCCCAAAGAGCTGAAGCCCATCTTCAACGTACGCATCGCCCACATGGGACACTTCGCCAAGAGCTTTGCCCTCAAGGAGGCCCCCACAAAGTTCGCAGGCAAACATGCCGCCCCCAAGGCCCCCCCACCCACCAATCGATTGACCTACACGGAGCGGTAAGTTATCGATAGCTTTCCAAGCGTTAAGACATCGAAATCCTAGCAACCTACTCATGTCGTTTATCGTTGCAGCGATCCCGAAAAGATGCAGCAGGAGAAGCGCAGCAAGCGACGCGTCTACACGACCACAGTCAGCGGGGAAGTGCGTCAGATGCAGCCAAAGGACATCCAGAGCAAGGAACAGAAGAAGGCAGGAGCGGCAGGAGGACCACCCCCAGCAGGAGGCGCCGTTGGTCGGAGTAGCTTCATGAAGAGCCTGAACAAGTCGCGGGTCCTCAACATATCCGAGTTTGACAGCGGCCTCCCATCGGCGGGGCCGGCCAAGCGACTCAAGCAGGCGTAGTCCGTGCAGGAGTCCGTCATCCGGAGACCGAGAGGAGTCCGGGAGGACATCGCAGAAGAGCTCTCTCCGGCCACTTTGCGACTCTTTATGCGCGCCATTTTGTTCCGGCCGCCTGTCCGCCTGTCTGCCTGTCCGCCGTGTGCCTGCTCAAGCATTTAATCGAAAAGAATATTGCTCGGCCGGCCAAGATAAGAAATACAACAAAAATAAGTTTATGTATAAGGAAAACTCTAGGAAAAAAAAACCAAACGAGATGCGCTCATAAAAGTTTCATTTTTCTCAACTTTTAAGCCCGGACGTCCTGTGGGAAAAGTTGTGTGAAGCCCGGAGAGCAGCCAGCATATTTTAAGCCCAGCTCTCCATGCCTCTCTTTGCACCCTTGCAGAGAGTATTTCAGTTTTGTTAGCAGCGAACAGAAGCTAGGATCCTCAACCCAATAGAGTGCTATATATATGTATATAAATCTATACAGGGTTGTCTGTGCCTGTGCCCAACTAATTGCTACTTTATTTTAAATTAATAAGAACAGAAAAGATCGGACCTAGATCGGGTTTTCGGCCTGAAGGACCCCAAGAACTTCTCGAACCCAAAAGTGTTCTCGCTTCGAAGCCATTCAACCTTCCACTGAGAATCCAATGTATACCGATAGGCACATGTTTAGGCTTAAACAAAATCAATATCATATAGTTGAAAAGGGACCACCGATCTGCGAGAGTATCAAACACTTCGGCCCTTCTTCCTTTCATATTTTATGATTACTTTTCCCTCTTTAAATTGATGTATATATTTTTTATTCTGCTCCTTATTTTATTTTTTTTTTTGTGGAAAATATTAGAAATCCATTTTCCGCTCACTGCAGATTCATTCAGTTTTGAAAATGACAGAGAGTGCGGCCCGCGGCAGGGCCATGGGCCATGGGGCAGGGCAGGAGTCGGCGGCACGTGTTGCCTGATGGCTGCCTCGCCTTTTTATGCAACTGAAGCGCATAATTTGTTGGACAAGGCATAAATAAATATCAAAAACATATAAACACTCTCCCCCATTCAGCAGCGATTTGTTTTTGCTGGCTTCGTTTACGGCTTAAATAACTTTTTGTTACTCTATTTGGCCAGGACACGTGCCCGTTCTGGAGCGGGCGTGGAGGCCGGGGCGGGTCGCGTCGGGGCTCTGGGTATTATGGCCCTTAATTGCGGCCTCTCATTGAACGAGTGGGCCCCTAATTAGACGCTCAGCGATTGATTTTTAATCAGGCCACTGGCCCAGGACGCTCCCCTAGCCTGTCCTCTGTCCTCTGTCGTCTGTCACTCAAAGTCGCAGTCAAAGTCAAAGTCAATCAAGCGTGAACAATCGGAGCCCAGTCGGCGCCTAATTACGTGCGAGTGTCAACATATGAAATAATATTTTGGTATAAATGCGACCATTAAATGGAAACCCCTTCGCAAGTGCGTGTCTGTGGGCACATAAGAGGCATGAATATGTACACTCTTCAGGGGCTCTGTCTGTGGTCATGCGTACACCGGAAGTGGTGCTTGGGATGGTACGAGTGTGCCATTGGTGGAGCTTCGGAAGGAGCACTGGAAGGGAGGAGTAATGAGTGTATATCTTTAATAATTTATTGAGATCTTTCAGATATTAAAATCGTAGTCATACAATTTAATTTGTAGCTAACAGATAGGCCTTACAGGAATGTAGAAAAATATGTACCTATACTCGTATAATCCTTACAAGCGTCTCCTTTGATAGCTAACACGTACTCGTATTCAATAGCTATCCATCAATGAAGCCGGGACAAAATCGCCAACCCTCCAATCAGTCTGGTTCCCCGCTGGCTGAACATCTGTGGGTAATAATCTCGATCCCGATCCCAACGCCCAACCATTTGATTGGCTTACGATACTTTGGGCCAATTCAATGTCCTCGATGTTCGCATGTGCGGATTCAAACCGATCTAATTGGATCAGCTCCTGCCACGGAGATCTCCACCACCGTGTCGCTGTCGGAAAGCTGTCCTGTTACCCTCCGCGGCCTCCGCCCGCACACTCTCCGCGCAACCACAAAAGGGTGGTCTGTGGAAAATTGTTAATGTGATTGCACTAATGGCTCGAATTATAGACGCATTAGGGTAAATTAAAATCCGCCTCGGCAAGCACTCGGCGGCCCACCGTCATTGCCGGCAAAAGTGGACCCTCCTCTACTACGACTGCGACTGTGACTGGCGTTGGCTCTGGCTTTGGCTTTGGGGTTGGGCTATAATAAAGTTGTAGTGGCTGCATTAACAATGCCATTGTCGGACTCGGGGCTTTCATGGTGTCACCCTGGTCAGGTGCAAATGTTGCATGCTTTCTTTCCTTTTTTCCGTTTTTTCTGTCCTGTTTTCTGCTTTCCCTCATATTGAAATTGAAAGGATCACGGTGGTGGGGCGGCGGGGCTACGACCCAAAACAGCTGTCAACATTTTTGTCGCCCGACTTTACCCCCACCCCAGGCCTGATTTTGACCAAATCGAATATGGCCCACGGCGTTGACAATCGGGTGGGGCACGGAATGAAATGGCAGGTGGAAAGAGAGGGAGTTGGGGCGGTGTGGGCTGTGCTCTAAGTGACAATTATTTGAGCTAGTTGTTGGTTTATTTCACTTAAGTATTGGTTACCGTTCGCGATTGGTTTGCGTTAAGTGTTTGACTGGCTCGACCGTGCGCCAATTACGTTACGTGTCCGGAGTATCTGACGGATACGCTCGGAGAATATCGTTTATGTGGCATACGGCATGCGGCATGGATATAACATATACGATATGCTTACGTTTTACCTTAGGGAACCAAATTGTACGACGTGTTATCCGATGAACCGATATCTCTAGCTCAAGGCAGAAGTACTCCATACACATAGAGGTCCCTTTTATAGCCTTGCAGGGGATATCCGTATCGTTTAACTGCCAAAGGAACGATCGGTCGAATGTGGAAAACATCTATTTTTTCTGAAGATTATATATAAGGACATATGTGAGCCCCGAAGATAGTCTTTCTTTCTTTTTTATGGCTGAAAATGGACTAATGAATGAATGGGCTGTAGCCTTAGAACGGGTTACAAGAAATCTTGTAGAAGAAGAACTTTCGGCTAATTTAGGTTAACCACGCATTATCCTCTATAGTATAAAGCCCATCGTAAAGGAAGGAGTCCTATGGGAACCCATTTTCCCGCCCGTTGTACCAACCTCCCATGGAGTGCCACCTGGGCTCATTCGTGCTTCCGTCCTACGCCCATGCCGCGGCCCGTTCCCGCTCCTCCAGCGTCGGCTCGCGTTAAAACCCAATTAATTTGAACGCTCAACTGGGGCGATATTTTGTGTGGCTCTTGGCGCTGCCCCGCCGATCATCTGTCAAAGAGCTCTTCCGTCGGATAGTGATGGCTGATGGTGACCTTCCACTGGGGCGGTGGGGCTGCCACAGCAACTGCGAGTGCAACGGGCCTGTTTGGACTGTTTGGGAAAGAAGTCCTTAATTGTTTGCATTTGTGTTGCAATTTAGCTGAAATCGCGCCTCTTGGCCAAATTGTCTTTAAATTGGCAGTTGGCGCTGTGCGCCATAAATCCAAGCAGCACCCAACCCCAGACCCCAGACCCCAGATCCCAGTCCCCAGACCAAAGACCCCAGACCTCACCCTGGTTTACTGCCTCTCCTTGTCCCCAGCACTATCTTTCGATGCCCTTAACGCGTTGAGTGGAAGGGTATATTGTTTTGGATCCCATACACAGCAAAAATACGATCCAAGGGCTTTAAAGCAGGGAACTCCCTATGATTTTTGGCATTATTCAACTTTGAGTTTTATTTTGTAATACAAACTATTATTACTACCCAAGAATATACCTAAATCATAGAATTTATATTTATTTTGTGATTTTATTAATAGAACTTGAGTTCCAGCCTGAAAATCTCGGATAAACCCTAATCGAAAACGTATATATTTATATTAGTAAGCCCTTTAAATAGGTCTTTGTATTGATATATCGAACAATATCTTGGGGCAGATTGACTTTGAGCCAATCCGCTTACCCATTAGTAGGTCTAATTACGCCCAACATAAACCTTTTAGGGTTATATGCCACAACTATAACCCCCTCTGTCATACCCCGAATTCTCCTTTAAGCTAATAGCATGTGGTACTTTTAGCTTCTATTCTTTCCTCCTTTTGTTACTAACTTCCATTATTAGCAGATAATTGTTAATTAAAAAATATATAATCAGATGGTAACTTGGCTTTAAATATTAATTTCAAACCTCGCCATTATCGATTAAAGAATAGATATAAGAGAGGGAAGGGAAGCCAAGTTTATACACACAACTTTTTATCTACCAACAACATCTCAACATTTCAGTGCCATCATTATTAGATGTATCCAAATTTGAGGGAAGAAGACAAATCTTCATCAGGGAATTTTCAGAAAAATTAAAGAAAACTATTCCACTTTTATGGAAAAAGTGCCACAGCCTCTAGTTTGAGATCCTGTAATAATATAGAATAATTATTTTCCTCTGAATGGCTTCAAATTCAAAAGGCTTAGTGTAATGAATGTTTGTGGAATGATCGTCAAAAATATTCGGAGTAGCAGGTATCTTACGGTCGCAATATCTGATCGAGGCACTACGAGTTTGTTCAGACTTTGGGAGCATTTTTCTGTTCGCTTAGGCAGGCGGCGGAAGTATCGCTTGAGGAGGACTGAGGAGTCAGCACCGCGTTCCTGGTCCCCAACCCGCTTGGAGTCACCCGTGGGGCATCGTTGGCGGTCAGTATGGCAGGGGCAGGGGCAGATGCAGATGCAGCGGCGGCGGTCGCAAATTATCAGCAAATTAGACTTTTCGTCGAACGAGCCAAGACCAAGACCAAGACTCTCAGTCGGAGTCGGAGTCGGAGTCGGAGTCGGAGCTGCGTCATTTGGTTTGATTTGATTTCATTTGTTTGCATGTCTCGTTGTCATTTTGGCTGCGTTTCGTTGGCGGCGGCGTCGGCGTCGGCGGCGTCTCCTTTTTGGGGCCATTTCTCATCGCTGGGGTTACGTTTTATGGGACGCCGCTGGTAAAGTGATTTCTTCAACGCTTTGTTAGCGCACTGGATTGATGCGGCTGTCATTAGGCGATTTCGTTTTCGGCCTAAACGGGTCCCAGAGCTCTGGGTCTCCTCTCCTCTCATCTCCTCTCCTCCACTGCACTCCACACCATTCCACTCCATGCCATTCGATGCGATGCGATGCGATGGCCGATGTTCAGGCCCGTTTGCTAAATGCGTTTTTAACGTGCTTTTAATTGTCAGGTCGTTGACGGCTACCCCTCTCTGTCGTGTCGCTCCACTCCATCCCTCTTGGATCTACTCCCCTCTACCCGCTCCCCCTTCCCCTCCCCACTCTCAGTTTTAAGTTCTCTTCTCACTTGCTAAGCGCAAATTAAATCAAATTGAAACTAATTAACATAAATAAATTAACACAAAATCCAATAGCAATATGCCTCGTTACAGGCTTTCACACTTTCCGCTCCACTGTGCCGAGCCCAACCATTCATCCATCCATCCATCCATCCATCCATCTATCCCTCCATCCTACCCGTTCTCTGGCCGCCGCCGCCGCCGCCGCCGCCTGTGACATTTACAAGCGACAACTGTCAAATTGGACAAGTTGCATTTGCAAATAAATAGACGAGCAGGGGAACGGGAGCGGGCACGGGAACGGGCACTCGTTCAAACGGAAACGGAAACTGACGAGCCACGAATCCCAGAGACTTCTGCCACAGACACACTCTCTAA